TAACATGGACATGAACAAGCCACAATTTTTTCCAGTTGTTCAAACACCAGCACAGACGATGTTGCGTTGAGAGGGTTGTCTTGACAACAACTAAATCAGAGCAATTGATCAAGCGAGCAGACCTTGAAATCGACAAATAACAGATAACAGTTTACGAAAATCGTTTTATATCAATTTTTATTTACTCACGGACTATAAGAACTAAACTAAACCCGTTGTTGTAATCAGAAAGCAGATTGTAAAGTAACACCTGTTTTTGACTGCATCGGTTGTTCAGGACAGCGGACTGGTTTTGGAATACACTCACAGTGAAAACGTATGGCCTTATACTATGTTTCAGCTTATACAACTAACAACGGTTCATCTATGTTATAATGGTGAACAATTCTCTTGCTGAAACAGTTCAATTCAGCTGAACGTTAAGGTTGCTTAATATTAAGTATAGTCTAGCTGCTGTCAGAGTTAATGAGAAATTATGAGAAACATGTGTCAGTTTGTTTTAAGTCAGCGACTGAGGAGATTAAACAAAATTTTAAAATCTCGCGACATTTCTGCTTTGATAAAAAATAGCGTCTAAGCGTAAAAATATAAATTGAAAAATGTGAAATTAAATTAACAAAATAGGCGGATAAATGCACAAACATTAGTGGACACAAAACTTAGGCACACCGAGTGGGGTCCCCAGCCATAATCGCCATGGACAAAGTTGGCAGTAACCAAAAAGCTAAAGTGACCCACTTATAACAATGGTTAACCATTTTAGTCAGACAACGGACTGGTCATATTTGGTGAATAATGCACGGTAAGTACTAATACTAGAAAAAGGCGCAGAGTCCTGATATCTGGTTCTGAAGGTTAAGGAAATCTGTTAATCAAATGAAGTTAAAAGGAGTAATGGAAGACTTAACATGCTTATAGGGTAAATGTATTGGTATGAAAAACCAAACAAACAGCTTGAAAATATGAGAAGTACCATACAACTTTGTTGAAGAACATCAGCAGTGCGAATTCATCGATGAAACTGGCGACTGAATCAAGCACTGTACGGCCAGAACACGAGCGTGCAGCGTATTTTCCGTCTGCTTCAATTTGTCTGCATATAATATAAAGTACGATTTATTTTTCAGTTTTTTGAAGAAGGGAGTTTCTCAAACCTTAGTCTCAACTTCTTGGGACCGGTCAATTATTGTCATTATAAGGGTTTGCAGGATGACTTCAAATGAAAAACTGCTCGGTATTGCAACTAAAAGGGATTAACAACAAAACGTTTAGATAAGAAAACTTAGAATGAAAAATTCTTTCTTTTACAATACGGGCAAAATAACAATCTCATTAATACTCATTTTTCCATGCCAACAGTAGCAATTAGGATTGAACTCCATGAAAGTGATGTACGGGCATAATCGATTAGCTAGGATCGATCGCAAATCTTCGACAGTTACCACACTCTAACTACGCATTGGTTGCAGGAAATCAAAACAAACAATCGGTCAGGTGAGAAGAGAAAGCTGTTGCTATGTCCCTTTGCGAAAGGTCAACATATTCATTCCAGGCGTTCAGGTACAGTGGAGGGAATTGCAAAATTTCGGGATGCGAAGAAAATTGAGACCTGTGGCGATAGTGTAAATGGGATTGCGTGCGAATAATCTGGAATACGATGTTCTGTTATAAATTATACTGAATGGTTCAAATAAGGATTTACTGATAAGGATTTTTACTGATAAAAAGTAATCAACATATCTGTATCCTAGAGAAGTCACGGATAGACAGATGACTCATTCATTAGCCCAATCGATATTTCTCCCTGGTATTCCCCATACCAGTCGATACAATTGCTAGAGATAAACATTCAGAAACACTCCAATGAAGCATTTTGTTAAAATTCATCTGCGAAACACGAGTTTAACATGAAAATGAATGGAAGATGAGCGTTTTTCCAGTTAGGAAAATTGTCAACCCAGCGCTTTGTGTCATTGGTTCCGCCGTTTCTGTTGGTAATTATTCAGATATATTGATAGAGAAATTGAAATCTTTATGGTCGAGGTGCCAAAGTGACCCTGGGTTGAGAAGAACACAACAGAAATAGAAACTAAAGCAATCATTTTCGGGAGGGGAGATAAAAGATTGCGATGCGTCATCAAAGTTAGTAGGTGCATCAGCACCATCGCCTACGATCTCCTGCTCATGGCTTAATGCCTTTGATCATCGATCAGGTTGACCGCCAGACTCCTAACCAAAAACGTGAACATGATTTAAGTAAACACATCCAATAGTAAAATCCATCATAACTTTAGTTTAATTCAGTCTGACCGTGCCTAAATTTCGCCGATCATCGCCTGGTTCCGAAAGCATTGAGAAATCCTACTCAGCAACATGCATACACGTGTGCTAGCGACAGTAGTCTATGAGAGTGAAGCGTTTGAGTGTGTGCGATTATGACCACCAAACAATCTTCGCCTAAAACCTAGCTTTATACACTCGCCTCACTCTGGCTAATATTTTCCACCGTGGAACAATACGCTGACGATGTGGATTTGTGAATAATGATAGCTCGAATTTTGATAGGGCAAACAAAATGCTTAAATTGAAGGTTTCCAGTAAGACAAAATTTAAATTCAGTGGAAAAAAGTGAAAACACTATTTTCCAGTAATAAATTCAAATATTCACAAACAATTTTTTACAATGTATTCAGGGTCCTTCCACAGCATCTGTACACATGCCTAATACGGTTGAGATAGACAATAACGAAAATTAAACCAGGAAAAGATTACAAATACCAACGGGCAATATAGAGATGAAAAAGAGGATGGGTCGGAAAGTTGACCACCAAGGTCAAGTTAAAGTGACAAACCATTCACGCTGTTTGCGTAGACCTGATCTGTGATTGTGAATGGCTGCGGCATTCATACACTTTAGCATTTTGCTATTTGCCGTGATGTAAATGACCGGAAGCGATTGAGTTACTTTTGTATAAGCATTGCGTAATCGAAGATAAGTATTTTCCTCCCAGTTGATGTCGCAATAGATGCAAAATTGTCATACCCTGGGTTATGAACCAAGCCGAGGAAGCAAAAATATTTTACAAGAACTAGTCACTGGAATCTAATAGGCCGGTGTGGTGTCGCCCGGATTAGTACTACGTGTATTCTATCGGATTTTGTGTAGCTCACCACCTTAAGCAACAGGGTTTTGGTTACTACAGCTTCGTGACCATGGAAATCACTCTCATTAGTGTTTATCAGGTGGACAGAAAATAGGTAAAGTTTAAGCTTTAAATGGGCAAGAGATAGTGAGAAAATAGAGATCCTAACATTTCCGGGTACTTATGTGTTACACTGATTTGGGAATTAGCTTGTGGATTTCAAGAAACCTAGCCACTAGTTGGTGGTGTGCAGTACAATTTTAGCGATTGGTATCTGAGAGCCGAGAAAGATCTTTGGTGCGGCTAGTGATTTCTGGCGGTGGAATTTTAAGCTTTAGACGAAGAATATATACATTTTTCGCTGTTTATTCTTCCCAATAAACTTTGAAATCACAATAGGGTTAATTTTCCATGAAACCTGTCACCAATATCGACAACCACGTTGATCAAATTGTGATCAATTGGGAATGTTATGGGTGGAAAATCTTGCATAAAATTAGAACCGCATGGGTCGGTAACTTGTATCCAAATCTATATTCACGCGTCCCGGAATTTATTATAGAGATAAATTGAAACAATTGCTTTCACTGTCAACCAGTTGACTGTTTTGTAAAGTTGAGGCCACCTGAGATTCACTGGCAGTAAGGTGAAGCGTCAATTCTGTGATAAGACCAATCAAAAGGATCTCGAGTAGAAAACGGTAAAGGTATATAAAAAATTTAGCAATTCAATGGAAGGTTAAATTAAACAAAAAAATCGATTAGAAACGATTGCGAAGAGAGATCGTTGTACCCATTGCTTAACCTTCTAATGATTGATCGGTTGTATTAAAAATCAAAGCAAACATATTGTGATATTCGGTTTGTGTGTGAAATAACCAAGAGTGGCCGGTCGAGTCATCTTAAAGCGTTGAAAACTGCCTCATGAAAACAGCCGAATGAGGAAACAACCGTGTGCATATATCAAGCGAATATGCATTAGGAAAAGAACGTCACATGCTTCTCAGGATGTGAAGAGCATGCCTCGAACCCATTATGACGTACAACAACATCCGATTTAGAGGAAAAAATAGATCGCCGACGGGAAACAAATAGAGTCAAAGATAGTGCAACTTGTTGGCGTCGGAAACATCGGTCGGATAGTAAGATGGAAAAACCATGCTCACGACAGACAGATCAAAACGTACACATGTGAGTAAGAAGCGGTAGTTATCAATTAACTCATTACGGAGGTCGTGTTAGCATGTTTCTCTCTTCTTTTTATCTTTTTATTCAATATACAAAAATGCAATTTTCAGGAAGGAAAAGCGGCCAATCAAAGGGTTGCTATTCAACACAATGGGGGAAGTTTGCTGCAGATTCCAAACAGATAAAGACTCTGGAACAATTAGTTTAATTTATAGCAATTTTTGCGTGAAGTGATCGCATTTTGATTTAAGTAGGTAACTTTATTTTTGCAAAACTAGTCAATGTGTTCATTTGATCTCAAAAATATTAAGAGGAGAGAGTGCATCTTGCACAGAGAAATGCGTTAAAGAATTTGAACTCAAACCCGCTATGCAACAAGATGTTTTACTAACGATGTCAAAGTCTGATCCGAAGAAATGTGCTGTAATGCTTCCTCAGTTATGAAACTGAGAAGGTTCTGGTCTGATCCATGGTGTGCGTCTTGTATTGAGATTGTTGTTCATCCCTTCCCCTGCACCTCACGAAATTCTCCCATACAACCTGATGCCTTAAATAGCCTCTGCCTAGATGTAGTTGGTAGTAATGGTAGTAGTGGTATCATTTCAAATTCAAATGAAATGAAATTGACAACAACTGCAAAATTTCTAAGCTTTTGGCCTCTAACCTAGGACTACAAACTAGAAATGCACAAATTTTCTGACGACTGAACCCATGTTGCCTTCACAGCCTGTTTCATGCTGCAACTGAATAACTACAAATGAAGCTGCAGGTAAGTTGTTTGTACGGTAAAACACTAAGTTGCTTTTTCAGTTGTTGTTTTTTTCAGTGTTTTAAAGCCACACTATGGGTTCTTCCTTTGTGAAGCAACCGAAGTTCTTCGACGTATAAGCCATTCAACTAGTTATGTTGAAATTTACGAAGTTTAAAAAGATCCATGACAATACTTCTGAAGTAGGGTGATACTCATGTATGTTTCGGATTAAACTGCAAGACAATCTTCAGGACCAAACCATTTAGAATAACATTACAGTGATAAAGAGTGTTCATCACAATGTTCTATGCCAAAACGTGAATATCTTTTGTTTCATATTTTAAAGAAGAAAAAGTAAGCCGCGGCATTGATGAAGAATTATCTTGTGTTTTGATGAGGAGGATGAGAATCATGAAAGACTGTTCTGTCTGGGTTGGAAAAACATGTTCAAGTCCACTAGGAAATAATTCAGGCAAACATTTGTTTCCAGATTTGACATTAAACGAACTTTGGACACGGATAAATTTTAGCACAACATGAAAATGGGCATCCTCCTTTTTGTTAAGCTTCCATTATTAATATTATCATCACAATGCTTATTAGGAATACCACTTTTTCGGTGTATCAAGTTTGCATAACACATTCTCCTGGTAAAATCGGTAATAAAATTGAAGCCGTATTCTTAATAAAGCTACTTCACTTATATCTTACAATGTCGTGAACTATAAAACTACGCCAATTACATAAACGTTTNNAATATATATATATATATATATATATATATATATATTACAGATACCATATGAAGGAAAAGACAATCACAGTGCCAAAAGATAAGAAACAATCACATTAACTAAATTCAGAATTAGAGAGCGTGAAATGCCTTGCAACAATTACTCACTGTACAGCCCAAAATTCTTGGAAAATGATTGTGCAACCAGTAGCTCTAATCCTTGGGATGCGAAATACCGAACAGCCCATGCGTCTCGATCCAGATCACCACTTGCGAACCCTTGATATGCGATGTCAAATAAGGCGAAGAGCTTTCTTTCCTATACAGTGGAACAAACATAGCTTAGTTAATATCAAAATAGCAAATACACCAATCAGCATGAACTAAAAAGAAATGAAAACTTATCCCACGAGTGCACTATGAATAAAAGTTAAAACTAACCATCAGAACCGAACAGGAATGTTTTGAATAATTACGGACACGAAATGTTTTTGGTTTTGACGTGTTGATCCTCCTAAAAAGGCTTTTCCAAGGTCATCAAAATGATCCCTTTAATTCAGAGTGACTACGGATAATAAAAGCAAACCCACCAAATTGGCTTGCAAGAAAAATAAGGGTATTTTATGTTCGCCTTTGTTCTGCACACAAACCAATTAAACAGTTAATGGTAATTAGCTCGATTTACTATTAATTTTGCGAGGTCTTGAATTGTTTTCACTAATGGAATTTGAAAATTGTCCTGTTGAAAGAAAAACATATGACACTGTGTAGGTTTGAATTCAGATGCGTGAGAAAAGCAAGGAAATGGTTATTTCATGTTTGGTTTTTGCCTCATATCACGCTTAATAACTACCCAACTTGCGTCATCGTTTTTACCTAACAATCAACGCTAATAACTATAATTCAGGAATGGTTTTCATTCCTCTTTTTTCCCCGAAGAACGCCTCATTATTTCAAATGTAAATATTAAGTCGTATATGCGGAGGGAAAAAGAACTAGTTGAACCATTAGAATGCAATTTAGTAAGAATTAATAATGAAATGGACGGCCAGATACGAACCTTGATGTCGTTGAAAAAAAAGAAAAACTCAACAAAACCCCTCCAGATCGCTCCAGCACTGAGGTGATTAATCAAGCAATAACTCCAGCAAAGTGAAGATGTTCATTCGGTGAAGCAGTGGACATATGTGTTACTCAAATTTATGAGTCTTTATTAGCCTGAAAGCATACCTATTGTTTTAACAATCTTTACGAGAACGGCAATTATGTAGCAATAAATTATTTGTGATCTAAGGGACAAAAAGCAGGTGACCATGTTAAAGGAGTGTAAGTAGCATGCCCTACCTAGTCAACAGTTTTACACAAACCAATAAATGTTACAATTTAAAACTCTAAAAGTATGAAATTGAGACAGTCGTGGTCTGTTGGATCCAAAACGTTCCTCGATAATGTTTTAAGGCAATCCGAGTTTCTGATTCATTGTCTGGTCCTATCGATGTGACCCTCGAGCTACTAATGATACCCACATCTAGTTCTTATCTTTCTAGTTAGTTTATTAACGACGCATCGGATGTTCTGCAGCCACCGACAATCTCCTTTGCAAATGAGGCTAAAGGATCACTATCATTCAGCGCACTTCATAAACAGTCGATCAAGAATGACATTGGGTCCTACGAAGCGAAAGGTGAGGTCGTCCCACCGCTCCATAAAAATCGGTTCCATAATTCCTCATAAATAAAAGAAATAATAAGAATCTTGGTGTTGGGATTCAGGGCGACTTAAGCCATATGAGTAATTGCACCGGGAGTCGTCCTTAACTCCAAGGCATTTTGAACTACTTGAGTACGTCTTCAATGAATTCGAGCCGATGTTGTTCATGTGTCTTTTATCACCCGATATTCAACCCCATACTGAATATACTGTGCAAACTTGAAATATATGGCCGCATCGCGATTGCCAGTATTCGGAAATTCCACAAAGAACGGTAACGGAAATGGACAGAGTACTGCATTCCAACAACCAAGTAGAACGACTGGAACTACTGAAATAATACTCAGCACCGCCGAATGCGAGATCTGACTGTGATGTATTACATCACGGAAACTCAACCATCAATGTCGTCTTTTGCTCAGGTTACCAACCAAACATCCTCGGGGGATATGCATTCAATTTGGTTCTCAAAAAATGTCGGCTGCAGTGTGTTGTTCCTTTGCTCTCACAGTGCGCAATATTTCCGATTCTCTACCACATTAATTGTTTGTGAACCTCAAACTCATTATTTCAAGTAGGGACTAGATAAATCATTGGCATTTCTAATATTTCGAGATCAACAAATCTAAAATACTAGAACTGTGATGTTTCTCATACATGAGACCCGGCGGCTCATTCATTAAGCGTTTGTCCGGAAAATCGATTCACTTGTCACAAATACCATGTGACGCCATAAAAGCGAATACTTATAAGCATTTTTCATTGTAAAACTTTCACTTAAAATCCCATCACTAAATACAACCAGTATTTAGTAACTCTAATAAAATCAATTTTAGTCGTAATTTATAGTGATTTTTAAATCAGCGGAATTTTCCTCTTCAAAATTCATAAAAATTCTCAACTCCTGGGAAAGTTTCCAGCAACTATCCAACTGCATTCTGGAACACTTTTTAGACGTTAAATACCATGTTAAACACGTAGATGTCGTTCTTTGTAATTTAGCAAAAAAAATCAATACTGTTGTTCTAGGGACAGCATCAACCCTCTCCACACATGCGGACCTTGTTGTATAACCGCATCAAGACCATCTAAGTGGTCAGGGCACGTTGACTTTCACTTTCTGCATGCTTACTCACCTGCACGCTTCTCTCTGCTCCAGAGACATCAGCCGTTCTCTCTTTGGTTCGTCCATCGTCCGTTGCTTGACGTATTCCTGTACGTCTTTAAACTAGACACTAAAATTTCGAAGTGCTCATTTACGACAAACCGCAAACTGTTTACAATTACCAACCAAAACAACTATCTTGTTCTGTCATTCAACTGCTAACTATGGAACGAACAAAACGAAAAAGCATGTTAAATAAAAATGCAGAGTTTAAAAAGTGCTCATAAACAGAGAGCGACTTAGCTGGACAAGTTCAATTTGATAACAAAGAAGGTTATAGATTAAAAGTATATACTTGTACGTTTGCATGAAAACACATATGTATATGAATTCTGTTTACTTTGACAACTTCAGCCACTTTTATCCATTGATCACGATCTAAATCCATGCCAGTTGGGTTGTGGGCGCATGCATGAAGTATAACAACAGACCCCTCGGGCGCTTCTCCGAGATCCTTTAACATTCCATTGAAACACACACCACGAGTTGTTGGGTCCCAATAGACATACGTTCGTATCTCTAACCCCACGAGAGCTGATATACCCTTGTGGTTAGCTAAATAGGAATGATAAAGATTATTCAAAACAATTTATAAAATATCTTACGCCAGGTAGGATGAGAAATATAAACAACCTTGCACTTCATGACACGAACAAGGAACTGTAGAGCTAAATAAACAGCACCAGTCCCTCCCAAAGTTTGACATCCATCAGCCTGGAACAAAACTCAGATTAGAAAACAAACCAAATACCTTTTTTGAACAGATAAGTGGGCTGTCTTCTCCCAAAAGCAGCTTCATGCCGGCTGAGACGAAGCCATCTATACCAGTTATGGGCAAATATTCCTTATTAAGATTTGAATCAGCTGCCATAGACAGCTCAACGGATTTAACACAAGGCAAAATCCATGGTTGCCCTTCATTAGTGCGGTAAGCTGGAATCAATGGATGACATAAATCATTAAAAATTAAATACCTCCAACAGTCAGGTTGACCTTATGCTCATCAACATCGGCTCTACACTCCTCGGAAAGTAAAAAGACTTCAATAGGTGGGGCCTCCTTAACCTGAGCAAACTGTGAATCCATTTCACCACGGGTACCACTCAAACTAGTAACGCTCAACGAAACCCCCGCAACAACACACAGTTAGGGCGCCCCAAAAAGTGGTGCATTCAAAGAAATGCAGAATTTCAGTTCAGTTCAGTTCCAGGACGTTGACGGCGGTGTGCCAGTTAGTCCAGTTTCTTGCAGTGATGGGCTGCAGGGATCCCCGATGCTGCGACAGATGGAAGAGGGAAATGACTCTTCTGCAATTTTGCGATCAAAAACCTTCACGAGAGTTGGGTGTTGACCTCCCACTCTCGCGCCAAATTCCGGTCACGTCAAACGGATCAAGGTAGCACACCCTGACACCGGCATCAACTAAGTTACAATCCCGGCCGAAAGTGATGGGGAGTTCCAGTGGTAAGGATGTAG